ATTAACTTATAGTTATAAAACTTGGTTCAACCACTTACAGTAAGTGAAGCTGCCTAATGGGAACCAGGCATAGAAATTGCTGCCAAACTCGGCCATAAGAAAACCAGTGTTTTAGCCCGCCATGTCCGACATGGCGACCGATATGGCGGTTTTATACCCTAGCCGTCACGATATCCTTCATTTCAATGCGTGTTGTGTTTCTGACGTCATGTCGGGGACATGTCGGAAAATATCGGGTGTGTCAGGCGTCATTGCGACCAAGAAATGTCGGCCAAATTTCAGAAAAAGCGGTTTTAAGCTTATTGGGTCAAGTTTGAAAAACCCGACTCGAAAATCAAGTGTCTACAATTGGTTAGTGATTCTAACATCAATAAGTTATGTACTTTTTTATATGTTTAGACAATATAATTATCAAGTATGTGAAGATTCCATTTATGATATTATATCAACCTATCCGATATGGCAATCCGATATTTTTTCATGTCCCCCGATATATTCCCGATTTTCGCTATCCGACATGAATTTTGGCCGACCGACATGAACCCGACATCCGACATTTAAAACATTGAAGAAAACTTCCGATAGAAGTCAATTTGTGCAGACTATGCTAGCTAGATTGGCATGGAACCATCTAGATCTAGCTATGACACTAGCCACTTAGCATTCTCTTGATAATATTCTTTGGCTGAGAACACTTCTGGTCTTTTCATGGACCTGATGTTAGGTATTAACACACATAGGTGCTATATTGATCTCCATCCTAAAAATGTGTCTTCAGATACACCAAGCAACAATTTTCACCTATTCATTAAGTGTTTTCAAATGCGTGATTTCTCAATAATATAACCGGTGAACTTGCTTGATTCATTGATAAACATGCTAGAAGCACAAGTGTTATGTCCGTGCTCGGACGGGTATGTTTGATTTCTTTGGTTTATTTATCAGGGTGTTATCTTACTTGAATTACGTTGAAATTCTTTCATGCGTTACTAATTTTTCTTTTTGTTTTGTGTATATGGTTCACTTTCATATGAACATGAGCACATAAATGACTTATGTCAATAGCGACCATAGGAGGATCTTTTAAATTCTGTTTATGTGGACCTTTTAAATTATGTTTATGCTGTTCTGAATGTGATTTGAAACTCATAACATATAGTTGTACCTGTCCTTAGTTTGAACAAAGACAAACAATCATACTCCCTTTAAAACTATGACATCGGGAAAAACTTTCTATAGTCAATATGACCATTCACTATTTTGAATATTTAATTTAAATCTTAATATATCCTAATCATAATTATACTCTATCCTAATCCTATGTGAACTGCCTATAGTTCAACAATTTAAGATAAATACGATTAATCAAATACATGAAATACTTTCACGGTATTAGTTTATTATTGTAAAGAATTAACAGGCTATAAAAAAGTTAAAATCTGCAATTAACACCTTCAATATTTCAAAACTTGTAGAAACACCCTCAAAAGCTCAAATAGTAAAAAATCACCCTGAAGTTCTGAAATTTTAAAATTTGCAAACAACAAAGATGAATTCAAAGGATTACCATCAGGCATTGAAAATTTAAAATTTGTAAAAATAACCTCAAAGTTATAAAAATTATAAAAAAAAACTCCTTTAAAATTTAAAAATCACAAAAAACCCTGAAATTTCAAAACCTATAACCACTACATATCAAATCTAGAAATCATCAGCAGACCGCTAAAATTTTAAATTTTACAAAAAACAATCTAAAGTTTTTATAATTACAAAACACTCCCTTAAAATTTCAGAATTGCAAGAAATATCCTGACATTAAAAAACTTACTGTTAACACATGAAACATGAAAACACAAGCACCTAACTTAAGATCTAAAATTTTCAACACTCCCAAAGTTTAAAAATTTTCAAAACACACCCTCAAAATTCAAAATCACAAAAAACTAAAAATTCAAAATTCAGCAAAGAAAAGAATAGTTGTTTGATATTCTTTCATTAAAATATATAAATTTAACTTCTAATTTAAGGTTTACTATCCCTTTTTCGCGTCTAAATGTCGTCTAATTTTATAAAAAAAAGATAAATGTGGAGAATGATTGATGTTAAAACTCAATAAAAAATGAAACAAAAGGAATGAACGACACTGTTTTCTGAATATCTTATAGAATAATTTATTTTTAAGTAAATTAGGAATCTTTAGAAGAGATTTTCACTAATTTTTAGTTCGTTAATATGCTTTTGTGGATGCTTTCATCATATAAAAGTGTACTATAGTTAAAATTAATCTCTAATTTATGATTTTTTTTAAGTTTATTAAGAAGTAGGAACAAAGTCCAGATACTTTTTTGTGTCGTTTTAGCCCACTTTTAACCCATCATCTTGTCTTATTAGCTTTAATTATTCATCTTTCTTTTATAATGCTATTTTTTCAAGTATTTTTCACTTTTGTAACACTGTGCTTTCTCAAGTCAATCTTGATTTCATGCCGGTCCAAATAACATGATAATTCAAATTCGCTTTGGATTACATTTGTTTCCTATTAGTTCAATTATCAACATAGAAATTTAAATTAGGTATAGTTCATTTAAAAGAACATCAAAGAAAATAAATAATCACAATGCTAAAGTTTAGAGATATAAGTGAGCAAAAACCGTTAAAGTGGAATCATTGAACAAATTTTAGTAAGGAAATAAACCAAAAATACCTAACCATGGTATTTAACCACGTGCATTGCATGTGCATAAAACTTAGCATTATCATGTATGTAAGTCATGATATCTTGACATTAAGTTTGATAGTTTGGATACTTAATAAATTTAGCTAATGTCTTACGAACACACTGAAAATAAATAAATTTGTATAGATATTGTTTAGGGTACTTGTTACATGACAACATATATCTTTTTTCCCCCTTCATTGCCTTCCAAAATTTCATACACATTTCTTTTGCTTGCTCACATGAAGCCATTAGCATTTCCGTCATTCCTGTAATTTATTCAAAAAATATATATATTAAAAGTCTGTTATGAATCTTTATTATTGTATATAACAAACTTCTAAAGGAATGTAAACTTTATTTTTATTTTGTTGTCTTTAAATCTTTTTCAATAGTAATAGGATGATAATATTGCAAGAAAAGTGTAAGTTTATTTATATGTCACTATTTCTTACGCGAAGGAAACATTTCTATACCTGCTGATAATAAATACAATTACTATAATTCATATGTGTGTAAAATGTTACATAATATACGATAAAATGTCATTGGTGGTTGATTGAGAAATTTTTTCACTTGTTTGATGTCCTTACCATGAATTTAGACTTAACCTGTTTTAGCACTGGCATGCATATAATTTGCGCCTGGTAATTTTGGATATGATTATGTATTTTGTCTATGCAAAGAATTTATGGAAAAGGTATTAAAATACAATATATAAATAGAAAAGGTTTTAAATTATTCAATAGAATTTTACATACAAATTATATATAATTCATAAAATTCGAAAGAAATAACATGTGCATATAATTCATTAAAGGTTCTAAATACTCTAATAAAACTCATATAAAGTTATACATGAAAGGAATGAGATATGTTAACGGGGTTCATTTTGTTTAACACATTTGAGCAAACACTTGTAATGCATGATGGTTTCAGATGACTCCTAATCCAATGTAATCAAATGAGGGATGACAATCATAGAAGATGTCAAAAACATTGAAGTTTCAATTTCAAACATCAAGCATTTGTTTCCTTAAAATAAAAGAATGTGATTTAGAGCTAAATAAACAAAACTAAAAGAAAATTCAACTTAAATATCAAAATTTTAATGCGCTCACATGAGAATAAAATGCTTTGTAATCCACAAACATATCGGATGTTCTTCACCCCCAACCGTACCACGACATCCAATGCTTCAATCAAGGGTTGAACCTACACAGCGTCCCTAATTCACGACACAACGACGACTTTGAAATCTTGAGCACAAGCGGATCACTCTCATCACAAATCGCTACTCCAATGCCAACCGACTTCATAATTCTCCGCTGCACCATCTCAATACTCTCAATGCCTTAAAATAACCGTCGCTCCTCCCCCTTCATCATCAGCCTTTCAAACTCATCCCCAATCCTTCCTTGCCTCATCTGGCATTAGATTGATCTATCTTCTTGTCGTGCCTAAGATCATCAGCTATCCAATTCATTTTCAATTTAGAGATTTGGTTGTCCTCTTTCTATTAATGGAAGCGATTGAATTCTTGGGTTTGGTGAGAGATAATATTGGGTATTTCTTCATATGGCAGGATAGAGGAGGGGTGGAGGCTTGGGTTTGGTGAGAGATAATATTGGGTATTTCTTCATATGGCAGGATAGAGGAGGGGTGGAGGAGGACTTGTGTTCATGTTCGATTGTGTTCGACGCCATTTTGGGGGCTGAGGGGACGCTAGTATTTTCGCTAGCGGCAAATTTCTCAATGCTGTGCTATCTTAGCTATTATCCATTGGGAGAAAGTATCAAAGAGATTTTTATTTCGAAAGATAATTAGAACAGACTAAAAAATAGGACACGTGGCATTTAGGTCATATAAGAGGCGGCAATATGTTGTAGTTTTAAGCGTAAATCACCAATATCTCTTTATATATAAAGGAGGGATATGATATCTCATCAATATATCCTTTATCTCATGAAAATTATTGTCAATTTACATATCATTAACAATGGAGTCTACGATGGTTCGTCATGTATCTTTAGATGTGTAAATATCCTACACTAGCTGCTTATATTTCTCTCACACACAGGTTAAATATAGTTAAGTGTCAAAACCTACATTGTGGCAGTATTATCTATTATATAATTATTAAATTATGTTTAGATGTTCTCCTATGCAAGCCACTACTTTCTGATAAAAGAAGGTAATGATATTTGGCCATGTTCAGAGTAATAAGAATGTCGAGAAGACAAGTACGGATGTGTGAATAATATTATCGTTTTACTATTTCCCAATGGATGAAGAGTTGCAGTACTGCACAATCCAACAATGGTACTCCCATTGCAAGCATGAGTTATATATAGCTAGCCACCACATCAACCTCAAATAGTTAATAAATCAGGTTGTTCAGCTCTCATCTTGTTTGAGTTACCCTGAATCATAACCTAGAGATAACTAAGAAGCACACGGGGAAAGCTGAACCATTTTGAATCACAACCAATGTGCCCGGCATTGATCACGATATAATAGAACATGTGCATATATCACAAGATTTTAGTATAGTTCAATGCATCTGTGTTTTAATTTTTTCTCAGTTGCAGTTTCACCTGAACACTAAAAAGTAAAGTAGTAAATTGAATAATGCAAGTTCTATCAATTATACATATAATTATGCACATAAAATAGTAACTTATATAATATAAATTCTATCAATAGAAAAACTTATTTATATAATAAGCAAAAAAAATAACATCACAAATTTTTTTATTATCATATTTATGCCTGTACATGATCATTTTTATCACAAACACTAACAACATACTTCTAAGTTCCAATAGTAGTCCATCATATTTGTATGGATTTAGCAGTTTTATAGGGGCAACCGTATAAATTGTATGGGGGCATATATATAAATGTAGCCCTGAATATAAAATTGAAAATTCTATAGGGGCAAGTGCCCCCAAAGGCCACCATGTAGATTCGTTCTTACTGTTTGACCTTGTAATCCATGTGCGATAAATTTTTTTGTAGATACTTATTATCAGCCTTTTTCCCCCTATCTTTTTTTTTCTGTTTGTTTGTTGCACACTAGGAACCCCTATATCTTAAGAGGAAGCTGTAATATTTGTTATGATCATTTATATTGATTTTAATATGCTTTCCATTGATGGAACAGATATGTGCTTAAGTGGGAATCTAAATATTTGATTGCAGTGAGCACTGCAATTCAAGATTGGATCTCATCAAGTAATTTTCTGGCCTATATTTTCTGCTACAGCAATAGCAACCACAACAAAGCTTTATCCCAAGCTTTCGGGATTCATACTTCTCTTCGTACTCCAAATATTTGATAATATGCAAAATTCAGATATTGAAATTATTGTTTATCCCTACAGAATTAACAACGGAGTTGATGAGACAAGGTGCCATGATGACTGTGTTAAGCGGTCTTGTCTCCGCATTAGCTTGGCCTGCTGTACTACTTGCAGCTACTGATTGGATAGATAGCAAATGGTCAATGGCTATTGACAGGTACTGCTAAAAATTTCAATACTGATTCCTCAAGGGTGCTTAAATATCCGGTATACTGTATACGAATACAAAGATAGCATGCCCATATAATCTGATTATATACTTAAAAAGCAACTACCTTTGGATCAACATATGTATATATAGAAGTGTATATTCAAAATGTTTTTAGGGCCTTAAGTTTACTAAACAATTGGTTGAGGATCTATCCTGAACTACACTTTAAATGTATATCAACGATAACAATTTCCGATGTGTTTCCTTAATATACATTGGTCATAGATATATCTTGGACTTCTCTTTAAATGACAAATTGATTCTGCCATCTGATGATGAAGTCTTATTCAGTTCTCTAGCTTCAAAAGGTTGCATTACTCACCACTCCGTGGTAAAAAACTGTTTATGCTACATTATTTTGTCTTGATTCCTGCTACTTCTATAAGTTACAGGAGAGACATAAATTCTGTTTATACATATGTAACAGATACAAAACTGTTCTGCGGATTTAGCTTTGTATATGTGTAATCTTTTTCCCCTATATGAGTTGTATTTACTAGAGGTACTGATCTGTTTACTAGAGGTATTTCTGTAGATAGAAGAATATTGAATTGGGTAATTTATTAATGTTGGGATAAGTTACATATTAGTTTGCTACTTTTCTGAGAGAATTAATGTTTGCAGCCTCTCACTGAAAGTGAACAGAAATTCCAACATAGGGTATTTACACTGATAATAGGATTTACCTTAAAAATGAAAACTTGATGGTAATAATTGACCGACGATGGTTTTTTTTTTAAAACCTTGTGTGCATCTTGGTTTAAGTAGTAGTAGTGGGTTCAATATAGGAAGGGCCTCAGAATAACGTTATCAATGTTGAATTTATTATTCCAGTGATGTAGTACGTATTGAAAGATTATATATGATACAGATTGAAGTATAGATAAAACTGTCAGAATTTCAAAATTAAGATTTGATTTTATCTTCTAGTATTTTACATATAATATTTGGTTTTACCTATTAGATTAAGTTATCTAGACTTGAATTTTAAAAACTTTAGAATTTGTTTTTGATGGAATTAGAGATAGGATTCCGTGGCTATTTAGGCTATGTTTGGTTTGAGAGAAAGAGAGAGAAAAGAAAAGGAAAGAGAAAGTAAAAAGAAAGGAAAAGAAAAAGAAAAAGAAAAGGGAAGAGAAAGTAAAAAGAAAGGAAAAGAAAAAGAAAAGAAAATGATATTCTTCTTATTGTTTGGTTAGAAAGAATATTGTAATAAAAGTTGGAAGGAAATTTATATAAAAAAAGTCATTTTCTCTTGTTTGATTAGCTTTCTAAGAAAAAGAAGAAGAAAATTATCACAACATAATTTTAATTCATATTTTTTGGAATTAAATTTAGATATTAAATAATTTACAAAAAAAATAATTAAATTAAATTGTGATTCTACCATATTTTAAAAAAATTTATAAGTTACCGAACATGTTTGCACAATCTTAACTCAAGACAATTTAATCAAATTTACGATGACTAATTTGCATATAATCTTACATGGTTTTGGACTTGCAAGTCATTCATAAACTCAACAAATTTACGATGACTAATTTGCATATAATCTTACATGGTTTTGGACTTGCAAGTCATTCATAAACTCAAGTGAAGAAAGATGATTCCGAATAAAGTCTAGTTTTGGACTTGCAAGTCATTCATAAACTCAAGTGAAGAAAGATGATTCCGAATAAAGTCTAGAAAATGATGCAGTTCAAGCATAATTATTCAAAATCAATATCATTCATATCATGGGAAGTACCAAGTTAATAAACATGTATTTAAAAAAAATTGGCAATTTCGTAACACAAAAACTTGATGTTGAAACTTGAATGGCAATCAACATCAAGTTTGTAAATGTTGATAAGCAGAAGCATAACCACAATTCCACTAATTAGAGGACAATATTTCTCACACATAATATTTGCAGAAAGTAAAGTCAATGAAAGAACCAAAATAAATCTAAAGTAAATATCATGATATTTCTAATATAAAGTAAATTCATTTTCTAGCCACAAAGTCTATTACAATCAATTTCATATAGAAAATCTTAACCAGAGAGAAAAAGAGATATAGAGAGAGATAAATCAGAGAGATAAATTTTCTGAAGTCCTTGATTTTTGGCTTTAGTGAGCCCATCAAAACATCAATCTTGCATCCTTCATCCTCTGAAATTAATTCAAAAAAATTTAAATAAGTACAATATAAACATCAAAAACCTATAAAATAAAGTCTCAACATTCTGTATAACACCAAGAGGCAACTTATTATCGGCAATAGGGAAAAAGAGGAAACCAGGAAAGAAAATGGTTACCTCGGCGAAACTGCCTCTTAAATTCTAAATATAACTTAAAAGAATATTCTATTACTATTTAGTTTGCAGTTATGCACATGAATTCATACACCACTTTCACTTAAAACAATATCCCAAACAAAATGGTGATAATATTAAAATTGTCATTTCGTTAGGTAATTGTCAACTGAAAGCCTACGCCCAGTAGCCAGTAGAAAACAAGTTGCCCTACATCTTGTAGACACGAGCAAATTCTCTGTTTTCCCTAAACATTTAAATGATTAAAAACGTCAGTCTAGTTGTTTTCAAAGTATTAAAGTTATGATGATCGATTCCGATTAGCATGAAGTTCTCCAGATCAAAGAATCCTAGCAATTAGAATTTCATATTTTGAGATTCAACAAACACATAAAAAGCATGAAACATAACAAGCTACATCCAAGTAAGCAATGAACCAGAAATCATCTAATAGAAAATGTAGGCATAAGGTGTTCTCCGTTAACCTAATGATAAAAGGTAAATTGGAAATGTAACACCAAGCAACCACTTAATTTTGGCAACATGGAAAATGAGGATACCATGGAATAAAATAATTAGAGCGTAAATTAAATTACCTCCTAATACCGATACCAATGTTGTTTGATACCCATCCAAGCTTTATCTCCAAACACCTTTTCCTCTGATGAATTGGTAACCCAATGAAATTCCTTCCTCGAGCCGCATCCTCAGTAATATAGTCATATGCTAATTTTGTTGAAGTTACAGGAACTAGCCAAAATATGTCATTTTTGATATTAAGACATGCATAAATATCTATGTACATATATGTTCTTTTGGTAGAGTTGAACATAAAGCAAACTAGTCATGGATTGGAAACAAAGAACACCAAGACAAATTCCTCCTGAAAGCTATATAGATTCTAACATCTTCACAGTGACCTCGCTCCAGAACTTGATAATCTAATTCCAGACCAAGTTCTACTATATATTTGCACATAAATGAGCTAAATTAAACAAAATACATCATAAATCAAGGAGAAGTAAGCATTATGGATCAGAAGAAGTCAGTTGGTATCAAGGGCAAAGTCTGTGTCACAGGTGCAGCTGGCTTCTTTGCATCTTGCTAGTTAAGAGATTGCTTGAGTCAGGATATAATGTATAAGGAACTGTTAGAGACCTAGGTAACTAAGTACTTATTCACTAAATTGTTGCTTTATTATACCTAATTATAATGTAAGGATTGTATAATATCCAACTGCTATCAGCATGCACCTACTATGATCAAAGTCTAACCAATTTATATGCATTACATGCTATATAAATAGAAGAGAGAAATAGAACGGATCTTGTCAAGCTAAATAAAATTGAATAATCAACTAAACACTAACTTATAAGATAATTTGTAAGCATTAATCTCCCAACTAATGTAGAATATAATTCAGACAAAATCAATAAATGACTAATTATTCAACTTACCCTTATGTAATCTTCCCAAACTTTTGGCTCCGCATCCATCATCCTCGTCACTCGATTAAATGCAAATCCACTAGAAGAATTCTGCATGTTTTGAAATGCCCCCATATCTTTTTTAAGTGTCTTCAATCAATTTTTAATATGATCCACTTCAACCTCTATTCCACATTTAGCGTATAACTCCGCACATGTTGCTTGATAAGCGTGATATGAGAAACTTCGATTAGGCTTTTGCCCTTTGTGCACTTGTTCTCTCGATGTTTCAATTAAGCAAATATCCATTCTCTCTATCCATACAATATTTTTCTTTAAACTTGATTGACTTCCAAGTTGTGAATCCATCTAAGCTGCCTATTTGTTAATATGCAACATTACTATTTGAAAAGTGAAGCATAAATATATCATTAGCAGTAGAGATATGGGAAATGAATAGACACTACACTTCCAAGATATTAAGTTATTGCAAGAAAGAATTTCAGCCACAATTATTATTAGGTAATATTTCCTCCACATCAACAATACATATACTTAAGCTAAGTACAAAACACACCTAAAAATAGTCTAGCAAAATTACTGTAGTTCATGAATATGACATGCCACATGAAAAAGAGGATATGGACACCTACAGGATGGTTTCCTTATCAAAAGAATGGCTTTAATGACATGCCACATGAAAAAGAGGATATGGACACCTACAGGATGGTTTCCTTATCAAAAGAATGGCTTTCACTAATTTCTGTTATATGTTAATAATATGGACACCTACAGGATGGTTTCCTTATCAAAAGAATGGCTTTCACTAATTTCTGTTATATGTTAATAATATGCGGAGTGGACAAGTAGGCTTTTACAACTCGAATGACCCAAGGAAGTGATATGTGAGGCTCTGCTTGAGACCCAAGTAGGGGTTGGCAACGGATGAACTTAATACAGACACACATCAAAGAACTGTAAAAGTAAAGACTCACAATATTTGTTCTCCATCCAATATGAAATATCAGAAAATCCCACAAATTCATGCCAGAAAGTATAATAACAGGTTTATGTACACAATAGAATCAGGTACGGCATCAAAGTAATTAAAAAGATAATCCCCAGGGAAAAAGAAGAAAACAAAAACATACCTACCTATTTAATGGGGCACTCACATTTGACACACATACAATACATTAACCAAGAGATAGATGTCAACCAAATCACAGGGAGTCAGGATATCAAAACACCAAATGCCTGCCATACAAGGATTGAGGAACTCAATAGCATTGATACAACTTGTGAGAAGAAGAGCATATCAAATAACCTGATTATACCTAGGGACTTCAAGGATGCTGCCTCACTCACACGATTGTTGGAGAAGAAGCTCTTATATACGAATAGGGGAATCGGTCCTCTTAAGATGGCTCACTTCTTAAGAGAAAATGATCTCAGTATAGAGCTTTTACAATTCTTCAATGAAGTCAAATAGCATTTTAGGAGAAAAAAGTCAACATTAAGTAATTTGTTCCAAATATGTACTGTGAATTTTTTTGGAGTATTTTCGACTTGTGCCTTTGTAAACTGTCCAATTTTTATTTTTATTTTTTTTGCCTAGTTTGTGTATCGGTATTTTTGATGGTTTGGCAACTTCTTATTGAGACAAATATTTACCACAGTCAAAATAGGGCAAGATAAATAAATAAACAGAATCGTAGTGAAAACCCAAAGAGCAAATAAATAACATTTAATTTTTATTTCAAGAATGAAAATATTTACAACATTTAATTTTTATTTCACGATGTCGCATGACTGTAGGGAATGGCAATTAAGCTTGCAATTTTGTTGATATTGTTGATCTGGTATTGATGTAGTCTCAGGAAATCCGAGTTATCTCATTACATACATACAATTCCCAGCTGGTTAATGAATTAAATATTTTTGATAGACCAAAAAAACATATATGAACTGAAAATTAATATTCCAATTTCTCAAGCACGCAAACATGCATGCATCCATATGCACAGGTATAGTCTATAGAAAGGCTCATACACATAGAGATATCAAACATATCCAAAAATTAAAATCACATTAGTTTTTGATATCAATGAGTCAAACATATACTAATTATAGAGCGTCAACTGAAGTTTTAAGTACATATATGTTAACATATTTCTATTACAACCAAATTATAAAACAAAACTGTTTAGTTTAAACCCACATATATAACTGCACCTTATGTATGAAAACAATATCAGCTGTTAGACTTCTGTAGGGCTAATCGGTATCACAAATCCATAAGGATTTTAAGTACGTTATAATTCTATTCTATAACCTTTCATTCTCCAAAGATCCAATTGCAATAACATCTAAAATTATATATAATTCAACAAAATATTTCTAAAATTTTGGAAACTAAGTAGTGCGGACAATATCATCCTCAGCTTAATCCAACCCAAATTAAACTTCAAAACCAACAAAAATATGAGTAGAATTACCTCTAAGGATAAATTTGGATTCATGTCAACCAGCGAGATCCACGAGAAATCTGTAGTTGAATCTGGAGCGGATCGTTCCAAAGAGCACTATGGTTCGATCGACAACCCACGAATCAATCACCATCAAATTAGAGTTTGCTCGAACTAGGGTTTACTCGAAGTAGGATTTGCTTGAACTAGGGTTTTCTGGGAAGCGAGAGTGGGGAGGATATATATATAATATAGTATATATATGATATATATATTATATATATATAATTATATATATAATATATATATATATATATATATATATAATATGAGAGAGAGAGACGAGACGAGAGAGGATGGAGTCGACTATAAGACTGCGGGGATGAAGTTGGGAATTTTGAGGAGACGTGCAGTCGAGATTTTCTCTAATTCTGCTTCAATTTCGTTTCGGCGATTGGAGTCCTGAGGAAAAGGGGAAAAGAGAACTAGGGAAGCATAGCCGGGAGCTGTTTGCTATAGTGATTTTAAGATTCCCTTTTTTTTTACTTTCTTCCAAACCAAACAAGAGAAAGCTACTTTCTATTGCACTTTCTTTTCCTTTCCTCTATTTTCCTTCAAACCAAACAGGGCCTAAATGAATGGAGCCTCTATCAAAGACTGGCACTTGCTTTCTTTCATATTGGAGGACCAAATTAGGCCTTTTCAATCTTGACTTGGTTCAGTGGTTTATGGCTGGCAACAATGCATTGTTTGAGCTAATAGTTGTAACTATGCATTGGGCAGATGGAAGTGTACCACCTCAGAAATTGTATCGAGTTGGATAGAAGAACCTTTTTGCTCCTATCTTGAACTATGCTTTGCAACATGGTTACTTTACTCTTTACTCTGATGAAATGATCGGAGAGGTAGTTGCTATTCCGGGGTACATCTTTTAGCCAATGTTTTGCCTTAGTTCTCCTATTACAAAGCAAAAAAGAAAAACTATACATGAAACAAAAACATTTGAGTTAACTCAAAAATGTCTTGAAAGACACAATAAATAAAACTGTAGACTGATTGATGGAAGGAGAAACATGTCCCAGTGGGTGTGCCAGAGTCTGTAGGGTTGTTGGGTTTTTAGTTGCGTGTCATGGGAGATCTGAATTGATTCTATTGATATATATAGAGAAGGGAAGAGGGGAGAGATGTAGAGATCGGGGGATCATTGGATCATTGGATCAATGGAGAATTTTGGGGGATAGTGAGGTTTTGTTGAGAGGTTAATGGGGTAAGTTATGATTTTGTTCTGGGAGTTAGCGAATGTTTGGGTCGTGGATTATTTTTTATGCATACTTTGGATCTAGAAAAATCCATACTCAAAATCTTGTATATTTTGCAATGGATATTAAATTATATTTTCGTAAGGGATAAAATCCAATCAATTTTTGTTTGGTTGCACACACATTTTGTTGAGGATATATGACTAAAATCATAAATCCGAGTGAAATCAACATAAATTTAGAGCATCGCCTTTGATGTAGCTATCCTACGTGTCAACTCCAAATTCAAGGCATGAAAAGTGACAAACAAACAATATATTTGATAATAACCTAGGATTTTAAGCTTGTGGGCCCCATTTTTCAATGCAAAACCCATAAAATATATGGAAACAAGCACCCCTGTAGAGAATGGTGGCTGGAGTTGAGATACTACTCGGGAGTTACAACCAAGAGATTAATAAGGGTCTTAGTTACATTACACATGTAAAGTTTAGGAGTAGTGGGAATTTGTTTCATGTGGTAAAAAAATATTCGAAAATATGATATTATCTCTTTACTCTTTAAGGTAATCACTCAAAAGTATATATCACGGTGGTGGATGCTTTTAGACTCTCCTCTAAATGGTCATGAGTTTGAGACTCCTTCAAGTTCGAGACAGTTCGGTAATTGAGTTTGTTATATGATACCCATCACCAACCCGTTATTCAGTGTTGCAGATATTATTTTAGGGCTAGCGATCAGTGCAGTCAAACTTCTCAACAGTTCAAAAATTCATCATTTTATTTTACTTTAAAACTTGAGGTCGAGTTTTCCCATAAGGGAAGACTGATGTGGGACAAATTGAAATATTAGATTTGATGTAGGTTGAGGAAGATAAAATGGTTAGGATTTCAAATTTTAGATCTGATTTTGTCTTTTACGGTTTTAGATAGGGAAATTTAGTTATATCTATGTAGATTTGAATTTTAAATAGTACTAGGATAGAATATATTTTTGAACTGTAGAGATTGGACTCCACCTCTATTTAAGGAGTTGCGAACTTCATTCGTTTAGCAAGGAGGGAGGGAGGGAGGGAGTTGACAATTAAAAAGTTTGTGTAGCTTGAGTTGCTAGTTGGCATCTCATTTGGTCAGTTGAGCATTCGTATAAATTCAGATCAACCAAAACATTAGACGTTGTGTGTGATTCTGGACTAATCACTGTTTTTCTTTGTTCATTTCCTTAGCTCAATCATAATCATCCAATCCTCTTCAAATCATCTCCACCATCCATATAAACAATTCCAAATAAACGAAGTAAACAAAATCCTAAAGTAAACCCACCTCAAACAGCTCTCTCTTTTTCCAAAAAGGAAGAAAAGAAACTTGCTGTAGTTTTCATTAATTCCTTAGAGAACTCAAAAAAGGCTATGTTCACCTTCCTTTTCACATGTCCCACGAGAGAACTGTTCGATAAACCCATCATGCTTCTGAAGCAAACCAATCAAGCTCCTTTGCCTCTGCTGGTTGTTGATGATCAGCAATCCAGTTCTTCGGCAAACGTTTTGACACATTTTTTCTGCAGTTTTCGATATTAAATTGGCTGGATCTCTGTTCTGCTTCAGCCAGTCACAACAATAATATTTTACACCTGATCTCTTTTCTCCCGGTATGAGTTTTATCTTCTCAACCATACCGCTTCATGATATTTTACTGTAGTTAATGTAGCTAATCCATTCTATTCCTCTGTTGCAAGGTTGGATATCCAGATCAGTTGAAGCCTCATAACATTCTTATTTGTTTCAGGTCAGATAAAGCAGGAAAGCTCCTCGCAGAAGTATTGCTAAAGGGTTTGCAGGGGAACAGGTAAATATTTTACCACATCGTTACATGTTCAATCTGCATTTCTTTCTTGAATCGCTGATTACTTTTTTCATTGCTAACTTTTTCAGGCCGGTTACACTCTTAGGTTTTTCATTAGGAGCACGAGTGATATTCAAATGTTTGCAACAATTGGCTGAATCAGGAGAGAATGGTACTTTCAGATTGTTTCAGTACTTTTCTGTTTTCTCAAACTTAAGTTGCTTGAATCTGTTAACTCGATAAGGATGGAAAAATGACAGAGGGACTCATAGAAAGAGTTGTTCTCCTTGGTGCGCCAATTTCAGTCAAAGGAGAACAGTGGGAAACTGCTAGAAAGGTATGGATGTTTGACAATTCCTTCATCTTCTTCTTTTGCCCTTCTCTAATTTCTCTTTATGAACTTGAAGCAGAAAGGTGATTGCTAGAATATAGTTTTATTTCAAACTATCACATAGAATGTTCATAATTTTATAATTTTTGATGCAATACCCTAAATTATATGTGATTTTAATTTTAAACCAAGAGGTAAAGGAATACCATAATTACCCAATATAAACCGCTTGACTGTATAACTAAGTTACAGAAATATTGAGTGCATTACTATCATCACATTATTATTAGCTCGGGACCGTTATTAACTAAAGTAAAAATTGGTCTGAAGAAGTGTAACTAATCAGTTGAAGACATCCTTTATTGATTACAAGATTTATAGAAGACCTTCGTAAAGTGACAGCATGATTTGTTGTCAACAACTTGTGTTATATATGTTCTTTTAGGGTCCTTCCCTAGTCTAACTTAGTTATAATCAAACTAACCCTAAACCATGATGCGTGAGTGAAAGCATGATGCATTATCAACAACTTGTATTATATTTGTGGATTGAAAGCATGATGCATTGTCAACAACTATATGTTCTCTTAGGCTCTTCCTCTAATGGCCTAATATAACTTAATTGTAATCAATCCTCTCCTAAATCCAAGTCTAAGCCTTAACTCTAGCCCTGAGACACTCTAACCTGGGATGAAAGGAGGGAAAGGAGCGAAGGATGATTGGATGGGATAGCGTCATGGTGGGGTTTTGTTGACACTTGTGAAGGAGGTGGATCTGAGGCTAGAGAGGTGTCTATAGGGCTTTGCTAAACAAGTAATCTAACAAACTCAATGCAATGTATATGCAGAATTAACTTAAAAGATCAGCAGAAATAAAACTACAAATAATTAAAATTATAAATCAACAACTAATAAACTAAACATTTAAGAATAATTATAACTAAGAGAAAGAATTAAGTTCGAATCAAGTCAAAGGCAATCTCTCGCATAACTCACGGAAACTTAAAAAGTGTTGACTTCTTGAATCAAGTATCTAAGAATTAAGCTTGCAAAAGAGTTCGAGTTTCAGATTTGTGACCGACACAAACCTATAGTTTATAAACTTTTGACATGTCTCTGTGTTGATTTTGATTCGAAGCTTGGCTGGTCGTAGTTGAAAATCAAGGCCGCAATGTTAAAAAAGGTGTTGCTGGAAACCTGTAGCAAAGTGTTGCTGAAGATTGTAGTTGAGGTCACTGTCGAGGGCGCTAGAATGTTGCAGGTTGAAGATTACAGTCTCTGGATGAGGGCATGACTAATTGTATTCGCTGCTCAAAGAAGATGAAGTCAAAGAAGTTCTAGGTTCCTGTTCTTGCGTGAAACAGAGAAGCAGAGGTGGGAGCTTTTTGTTGTACGTGAGATTTGAGATGATTTGGCAGGGGGCTTTAATGGAGGAGAATAATTGGGAGATGGATTTTGAGGTTAGATGACTAGCTGAGATTAATCACACAAAAAATAAAGAAAATAAAACTTGGAATAGGCCGGAATCACTCGCAGTACATATTCTCTGGAATTACTCCAATACTTTCTCAAATTCTCAAATTTTATTCATCTCAATCTCCACCTTATAGGGTTTCAAATCTTATCCTAACACGCTTCAAAGTCTTATCCTACTACACTCAAAATCCAAGAGAACTATTTGAAAAGATTTCAAACTGAATTCAAATACTAACTAAAAATTATATCTACCTAATCATAATTCTTAGCTTGATCTCCATCAAGTCTCCCGGCTTGGAAAAATTCACCACTGGTGAATGCATGTGATGGTGATGCTCCTATTCAAGTTGCTAGATAACATTTAAATTTGGATATCCGTGCTAATGAACAAGGTAATTGTGGATGTCATCATCGGCAGTCGACACATCTCCATCAAAATTTAGAACATCAGGTGGCATGGTAGGAGTTGGTGACAAACGAACTGGTAGTGTAACATTGGCGGCATCAAAAGTCCAAGGCTCATCAAAAGTTCAAGGCTCATGATGTGGAACGAGATCCTTGACATCTAAGATTGGGTTTATACCCATATCTTTTGGGAGGTCTAATTCGTTGGCACTCGCTCCAGTCTGTCTAACAACTCGATAAGGTTTTGTTCGTTGTGCACTTGTGCGTGAAACTCTTTCACAGTTCCGGGAGGGAACCTCTTAGGTTGCATCCGAAGTAAAATCCAATCACTAGTTACAAGTTTCTGCAAACCTTTAGAGCTATCCACTCCAGATGCATAATTTTCATTATTCATAGTCAATTTTCGCTGTCTTATCATGAAAATCATGCACATGACATGCAAACAAGTCTGCTAATTTACTGTTTAGGATCTAAAGATACATGATCTAAATCACTAAGCTCCCTAGGATGATAATCATTATCGGGTTCAAACAGATTCAAACATGTGGATCTATCTTCAAGATATCCGGATAACTGTCTCATTAAACTTGATCAGTTTTGGATTCATCACAAAATGTGACACTTTAGGTGAGGTATTCTTTGACTCTAACTCAATAAACTTGGGAAAGACTTTGGAAACATCGGGGGACTGTTGTGACAACTCACACTAGGTATCTCACGTCTGCTATTGTAAATGTAACTTCTGGTTTTTTTTTCACCATATTGTCTTTTATTTAAGATGTGAGTATAGTTGTGATTTTCATTAGTTGCCGTTCCACTTTTAGTACTTTGATTCTCTTTTGGTTTTAAGGGAATCAAAGTAATTTTTTCCCCTTTGTGACTGAAAACAAATTTGTTCATTTTTCCATAACTAGTCACATTAAGATCATACAATCAAGGTTGTCTTGGAAAAACATGAGCAACATCCATTGGTAGAACATCACACCAAATACGATCATAATATGTAGAAAGTTGGATAGGAACTAAACATCTCTGTGAAACCGCTAAACTAGTTTTATCTACCCAGGTGAATTATATTGTTGCGGGTGTGGTCCTAGGTTAAGATTCATCTTGTCAATTGTTGTCTTAGCTATCACATTGATGCAACTACCTCCATCAATTACAAGTTTATAACTTTTGTTATCAACTGTAAAGTATGTGTGGAAGATAAGTGTTTCTATGCCAATCATCACCAAGTTGTGAGGATGCTAATGTACATCTCATACCTCCTAAAACTGTGCTAATTCGTCTCCAGCGTCGCTAGCTCCATCTGGGGGAGCATAGTCGTCTTCATCTAGATCATTATTCTTTTCTTTTTCATTTGCAGTATGCTTTTCTACATTTAGATGTAAACTTCTCCGAGGGCATTGATGAGCAAAGTGTCCCTTTCCATCACAGTTAAAACATCTTTTTAACTTTTTCATCTTTTTAGTTAAACTTTTTCAATTGATTTTCCTTTAATGTCTGAGGAAGTATTATTATTAGTTTTGGGTTTATTATCTAGAGGCTCCCTGTACGACTCCCCGGCTTGAAACGAGAACTTCCTAGTGCTAGATGGTTTAAGGTAGTGCTCATAATCCTGGCAATCTGATAAGCATGCTCTAGCGAAATAATAGCGTGGGGACTCATCTCTTTTTGAATGTCGGCTCCAAAACCCATACAAAATCTTGAAATGGTAGCTATGGGGTCTTCTTACACCTCACATTGGACCATTAATTCATCGAATTTGTTCATATAATCAGTTACAGACAAGCTTCATTGATGTAGTGTGTTTAATTGATCATACAATCGATTTTTATAGGCGATTGATCTCTTTCAATTTTTCTTTCATCTCTCTCTAATACTCTATTGGTGGCTTCCCAGAACGCTCTAACTGCATCTCTATCGAAGTCTAGTAAATTTTGGCAGGACGGGACTGGATAATTTCATCTTAGCAAACCTAACCCTACGATTTTCAGACATAATATCATACCAAAAAAATAGTTATCCACGTTGGCTAACCAATCAGCAAAGGCTTGGGGATCATGTTTACCATCATAAGGAGATTCTGCTCTAACTCTCTTTGTAATATTATCATTTGAATTTCTCCTTTAATCATAAACCCTATCATCATATCGATTATCATAATCTCCTAGTAATATTTTGTCTACGGGGTATTTTGTGTCGGTTTCCTTCTCTAGGTGGTATATCCCTATCGAATCTTGCATTTTGACGTGGGTGGACACGTTCTTCCTTAGTGTTTGATTCACTTCCATCTTAAAACACCTCCAACTTGGTCATCTTAGCATCAATATTGTCCATCTTAGTGTTAAGGTCAGCAAGATTGGATGTCATCTCTTTTATGGCTTTCATAATTTATAAGTTTGGATCCATACTCAATTCAGACCAAGGTTATCGATAGCGGATAGCGTCGCGTAGCGGTGAGGCATCGTTAAGACTATTTCGGGCTATTACGGTAAAATAGCGGTAAAAAAAGCAAAGTCAAATAGCGGTCTAATTCAGATATGTATAAATACTAAAAAAAAGTTTAAAAAAACATCTAAGAAATCTAAAAGTACATATTTGATGATTTAAAGAGATCCTAAACATGAAATAGACATGTAACCATCACGTAATACCGAAGATAACTGGAGGAGTCAAAAAGTCATCGTTTTCGAGAAAAGCTTAGCGGTGACAGGACTATCCTAAGAGGAGCTCACGGTGAAGGAGGTGAGAGGAAGTATCAAGGTAGGTGTCAGAGGCTATGAGAGGTGACGGGAGTATGCTAAAAATCACAGGAGATGGTGGAATGCAATGGTCAAGGGTTGAGTTTAATTTTTAAAAAATAAGCCTCAAACCGCTTTTAAATAGCAGTCAAAAAGCAAACTTCGAATGCAATCGCTCACTATTTACCGTTATGACACACTATTGAACGCTTTTGCGAACAGACATATTCTACAATATGTCACCGCTATTGCGTGATAACGTAACGGGCGATAGCGTCGCGGGAAGGTACCGCTAACGCTATTAGCGCCGCTATTGCGGGGCTTTTTACCGCTATTTATAATAGTGATTCAGACCTATATATCGTACTGCTGCACAATTGCAT